TCGTCGTCGTCGTCGTTGTTGCCAGCTACGAAGTGAGGAAATACATTCTGGAATTTTTGGCGCAAGAGATAAATGTGGTCGCGAGACAGGTATCTATAAATCACATCGATAGCATAGACGAACACGTAAGTGAAGTTAGAATAAATATCGACCGCTGCGATCTGTAAAGTCAGATAAAGAGCCTCGGCAATAACAAAGGATTGAGGTTAGGAAATCTATCACATCGATGGCATAGAATAGACGAACACGTAAGTGAGGTTAGATATTTTCTGCTTTATTATCCCAGATAGCCAGACGTGTCGGAAGCACGCACTGTAAATTTATGCTACATATTATGTTGATAAAATTCGGGCAGTAGTCAAGCATGATCTGTCATTTTAACTAGCGTTAACAAAAATACAGCAAAAATTCAAAAGACCCTGTATCATAACATGCTTCAAAAAATGCTAGAAAAATTGAGCAAAATATATTCGGCATAAATAGAACAAAATTCATATATATGTGTTGGGACAATATATAAACAAAAAATAAACAAAAAGCCAGATTTAGCATGATGTCATGTTAAGTTAGCAAAATTTAGTTAAAAATCTATCAAATTTGCTCTCACATTGTGAGAACGGTAATACAGTAGGAATACCGCACGATTTATTATATGAAATACTGATAGCAGAAACACAGCAAAAATCGAGCACAACGTGCCGTCACGATGTGACTGCCCAAAACACGGCATATGTATATTGTGATCTGCTTTATCAGCTGTTAATGACAAAAATCGCAGCAGAAATCGCGAATAATCTGTCGTTGTATATAATATCAAAAATTTAGTAAAAAATTAAAAATTTTATAAATCTTGCAATTAATACACTCGCTAATTATATATATATATATATTAAATACCTTCTTTATTAATTCTCTTTCTTTGTAATCAGCGCGCGCGCGCGAATATATATATATTTATATGTACAAATTGATACAAATGATATGAATAAAATATACTTGATATGAGAAAAATATATCTTTTACATGTGTTCCTTTTTAATCCATATTTTATTTATACAAAATAAATTATGTAAATAACAATTCATCTAAGGTAAGATTATAAAAAGTGTCTGTATATATAAAAACAAGTGTCTATATTAACTAACATGTTGACGGTGATAGATGCTTAATTGTATCTATCGCTATAAGCGCAAAATATTTCTGGAATGTTATATAAATATTATTAAAAAGTTAAGATAATTAAATTATCTGGAGACACGGTGTATAGTGTCTCAGCGTTGACATGACACGAGACACTGCCGTGCCCCTTTTATATTATAATATTGCGAGAATATTGTATATTTTTTAATATTATGAAACTATTCTATGGATGTATATGTTATCTACTTATATAATATCCTTGGTATATTTATTTTAATATCCCTAAAATATTATTAAAACATTTATTAATGTTAATTAATTTTATATTAGTACAATTAGAATTCACAATCCGGTAACAAAAAGATCTTATTAGTCTTATATATGCTGCGTCTTGTGCTTACAACTGTACACCAAAACCATTTCCAATGTTTAAACGTATACTTAAATTGAACCGATGTAGCAGTTTTACAAATTAACACTAAACATACCATGACCCGGTAAAATGACCGGTTGTAAACTTTTGATTAGAAAATTCGCATGAAATGTTATCGCTTTTTCACATTTGACTTCATAACTTTTTCTATTAAATATATATACAATTAATTTTACATCATTTATTTATATTATATTTTTATTTATTAAATTTAATAAACACGTGTAGCCTAGTATTATTTATCGCGACATGTCACTTGACCGGTTACAGTACAAAAATAGATATATATTAAATCTCGGTACGTTTAGTGTTAAAGTAACTGTTGTTATAATACTTTGTAATGTTTATATAATATTATAGTCACCATTAAATAATGTTACTTTCAATAATTAAATAATATTATCAGGAGTGGACATAATCATCCATTAATATTTCAATATTAATATTATTTCATATTGTATAATTTTAGAAAAATATTCTTAAAATGTTACACTTAATATTCTGGAAATATGATTAAAATATTTCTTAATATTAAATAATATTATGCGCCTATATATATAGAGAGATACAACAACTTCTCTAGGACCGGAGTATTCAACAATTTCGATGCACAAATTGCTAGTGCCTACGTGCTAATTCGATTTTGCAATGATCTTTGTAAGGTGTATAAGGTGTTCCAGTTTCTACTTAAAATCTGACAATGGCGAGCCATATATACAGACTTGGTCTCAATCAATCTTCGCCTTCAATTTCAAAAATTTGTCAAATTAATGTTCCACACATTAAGCCCATTCTACATTGGTCGTATCGTAGCATCGTAAGCGTTGTGAGACTTCTAATTGACACATCAGATTGGCTGTTGCAACAAATTTGTGACCTGCGATGCCTACGATACGACCAATGTAGAATGGGCTTTATATTGGAGAATCTGGGAAAAAAAGGATTCTTATTCATAAAAATAAGAAAAAGGAGCATATACCTCACGCTCGAAGTAGCAAAAATCTGTATTTAATGATATTAAAAATTACATAATTATAAACGTTTGTTGTAACCTATGCTCAGTGATAACAGAACGCATAGTTTCACAATTAAAATATAAGGTAAATGTACCACTTCGTGGACATGACCCAATTGTTGGACAAATTGTGACTATTTTAAATATTAAGCTTTTCATGATATGTGTTACTCTAAATAAATTATAAGCAATTTTTCATATTATTTAGAAATTAAGTATTATATAATTTATTCATATTAAAAATAATACTTTTGTAAACAAAATTTTGTTTATGGACAATTGTCCATTTATTAGGACATTCACACATATGCGTGTATCAATTATTGGACATTCCTTAGCGTACCTGTCTATTGAATGATTAAAAAACATATTTTGCATATATTACATATAAAACTTTATATAAAACTTCACTAATTACAATTTCGATAAACTTTTTTGTACAATCTTGATTGATAAGTAAGATGCGATTCTCTTCTATAATAAAAAATATTGCTTATTACTTGTCCAATAATTGGGTCATACTTTTGTGGACACAAAGACACGTCACATTTTTTGTTCAATAATTAGGACATTTGAATCATATTATTATTATATTTATGACTAAATACAATTTATAATAAACGCAAATAACATATTTCATAATGGATTTACTTTCAGAAAACATCTATTCTTACTAAGCATGTGTAATAAACTAAAATTTTAATGTGTTTCTAAAGTTTAAATAAATGATTTCGTCGTGCAATTCCTTAACTGTCCAATAACCGGTACATTTACCTTAAATACTTTGCTGATTGGACTACCTAGATATGTTTCGTATAAGTGCCTTTTTAACGTTTCTAATATAATAATATTCTGCCTTTCTAATATAATAAAATCAAAATTTACAAAGATTTAATACAATAAAAAACTGAAATATTATTTATATTATGCATGATATAATGCATTAAAAGTAAGACCAACAGGTATGTAAATTTCAGAAAAACAATTGAAAAAATGCTCCGAATAATAATATTTCAGGTAAAAATGTCAAAGGAATAGATATGATAAGAATTAAATACGAAAGAATAGAAACAGGAAAAATTTAACCAATACCATTTATATTGTTATCAATATAACAACGCACTAAAAAGTTGAAATGTTGTGAGTAAAAAAAATCCAATTATCTAATAATTCTATAATAACCACACAAAATAATAAGTGTACTTCAATAATCCAATTATCATAAGAGAATGATTCAAAAGTTGACTAAGTGGGAAGCTACTCTGCATGACAAACAGAAGATAGAAAAGATAGCGAAAGAGCAAATTGAAGAAATATTACGGCAACATAGTGCAAAAATTATTCAAAATCCAATTCATACGATTTTCTGTGTGATAGAAGACGATAATAGGATGGTAAATTTAATAAAAAAATAAACAGTGGAAAATACGATGTTGGAACTCTGGATTGGATGAAATATGGGAATTAAAATACAGCCAAGACACTATATTAGACACTAAGTTACAAAAACTATGACGAATTTTATGAATTTTGTCGTTGAGACGCAGATGAAGGGACTTTGAAGTGGCAAGATTGAATCGGCGAAACTGATTATTTCTGAGATACTTGAATCCAAACTTATTAATAAATACATGTCCTTTATCGCAATAATTTCATAAATTATGTTACGAACAATCAGTTTACCATTAAACAAGGAAAAGAAATAGGCAAGGAATTATTTGGGAGTATTCGAAAAGTCTACCAATAATACAATAGAAAAAAAATTGAGCAAAAAACTGTAACAATTCGGTAAACAAAGAAATATGGATAATTGAAGTTACAGTAAATATAATTATTTTATAGCAAAAAAGCAAGAGATAAGCAAATTAAAGCAAAGCAACTAAATATCTGTAAGGAAAAAACAAGCATAGAGTTTGATTCTTCAAGAGAACGTAGAATTAGTAAAAAATATCTATATATGCTGCGTTCGGAAATATCACTACAGTACCCCCATGTATCGTCTTATCCTTGTTTAACATTGAATGAATAACAAGGATAAGACGATACACGGGGGTACTCGAGTGATATTTCTGAACGCAGCATATATAGATATTTTTTCACAGCAATAGTATTACAAAATAAAAAAACCAAAATGAAAGAATAAGAAACTTTTACCTATAAATCAATAGTAGATACAGTACACCAATGCAATTAGCGTGATACGAAACAAAAATTTAGATAACCCATCAGCTTTAGTGACTCATTGTTCTGGCAAATTTATTATTGACAGTTGCAAATAGAATGGTATATAACATTCTATTTGCAACTGTCAATAACCAAACCTGTCAAAAGCACGCATTGCACATTTATGCTACATATTATGGCAAAAATCGAACAGCAATCGAACACGATTTACCGTTTCAGTATTGCGCTAACAGAAATACAACAAAAATCGAGCACAGTCTGCTGTCACATGATATTATGTCAGGTTGTAACCATGACAGGTTCTTCCAGCGAGTCTCCAAACTAGTAGAATAAACCCATTCACCTGAAAAATAATATTAATAAAATTATTACAAATTTGATATTTTTACTTGTGTGCCGGCATCAGTACATCTATAAAAACATATTAATACAAAGTTTCTTTCAAAATAATTTTTTCTTATAATATAATAAATATTTTTACTTCTTCACCTTAAGTGTGTGGAAAAGCTCTCGACTGTCATCAAAGTTAATGATAATCATCCTGAGTGACAAAAATAAGAGATATATAAAGCCACCTTCAAAAACAAGAACTGCTGAACTGCCCAGTATCTGAGAATGGATTGAAATGGATTAAAATTGATTCAGATTTTCAGAAATACGGATTCGTGAATGTTAAAATGAATCCATTTCAATCCGAATACATTTTTGTTCATTTATAGGAATTGCATGGAGCATATCTGTATACCTTTTCAATCTAAAAATAATATCAGCTCTTTCAGTGCGTTTGTGACCATATAGTGAATACTGTACAATTCAAAATTTTGAATAGGAAACGCAGTTTTTCAATCCAGGTGCATCCAATTGAATCCAAAAAAAAGTTTTCGCTGTTTAAAGTACGAATTCGAATAGTCCAATCCATTTTAATCCATTCTCGGATGCTGGGTGTAAAAGTAAGAGACCTTTGCTAAAACAGAATAAATATGAGAAATGAGTTAAAGTTGAAATTTTTCATTGACTTTTCAACAACTATTTTAAAAACTTATTAACTGACCAATTTGTTTTGACTGTTGAAGAACCAGTGCTAGAGAGCAGTTGCATGTGTCCAAAAGCCAATGAGCAACGAGATGAGCATATAACGCCTCTTCGATATAAATGTTGAGCATATAACGCCTCTTCAATAATCAAATCAAGAGTTGGAAAGGATCCACTTAAACTCAACTCCGTGTTATTTTTCAATTTACACTTGGTGAAAACTTGTGCAGACAAATCTGTGTCAACAAATTTGTAACAAAATATATAGAATATCTTGTACTTTATTTTTATATTAATAAATAAAAACATTTATTTAGAATATATGTATACATTTAAAATATATATGTATATAGATTTAGAATACAGTATATAAATAACGTTACTTACTTTAAATGTATAAAATACTATCGATAATTATACAGAATATCCCCACCACCTCCGATTTCGATAAAATTCGGCTCATTCGACGCGTTTTTGCATAAAACGAAAGAAATAAATATAATATTTGGCAGAAATAAACGTCGCTCTGCCTCGTGAACCAAGACATTAAGTGTTAAAGTTGACGACTAATCAGGTTAGGAAATCTGTCACAGTCCTACAATCGCCATGTCTTCTACATGCATTTCGAAATCTTAAGTAAGCGGACATTGTCTACGCTGTAATTTGTAGGCAGTCAGGCCCCAAGCGGGTAGGACTTCACACTCACGAAATCAATTTATCCTTGTTATTTATCAAATATCAAATAAGGAAGAATGATACATTCCCCGCATTATTGCGGGCGTTAAGTGGAGTCGATGTAGTACAATATCATGGCAAATACGCATCATGGAACTCCAACCTAACCATACGCCAATCACACGCTTGAAATTATGTCCAGTCACTAATTGCGTTCAGAAAACTCTGTCCCGGTTGGAGCAGCATAGTTTTCTGAACGCAATTAGTGACTGACATGGTTCGAAGCATGTGATTGGCTCAAGGATTCGCTCGTCAATTTTGAAACAGATTGTCAATTGTTAATAAAACAATCTCTATTCTTCTATTTCTTCTCCACAAAAGTGATCGGATGCATCGGATTCATACGGATTTGACTTCGTGTTGAAGAAAATTTAAAGATTGTAAGTACAAGATAGGTATTAATAATAGATGATATCCTGATGAAAGTGAGAAATGGAGCAAATGTAAGAAAAGATGGACAGGTACATAAACGAAGTTTTCAGGAGAAATAAATTGGGACAACGAAATGTAAAGATGGAGTTTATGCTTTTTGTATGTTTTATTCTCCAAATTATCGCCTTCTAGACACTCTTTCCTTACATTCACGACGCTCCGATTTTCATTTTTGCTCCAATTTTTATTTCCGTTTTTATAATAATATTATATATTAAACCATCACATTTTCATTTTGAATTGTTACATATCGCGAAAATAATTTACATAAATTGTGCGTGAAGCAATGACAAAAATTATGTCCGACATTATAATAATTAATGTGTGTCTGTATTATTATATTTCATTGATTAATCAATCGCATTATGCGAAAATGTAACTTTCCAGTGAGAAATGATAATAATAACATCGACATCGAATTGATGTCGATTCAACGTCGAAATTAGTGTCATTTCTGACTAGGTTTGCTCCGTGAAAATTGTATTTCCGTATAATATGATTAGTCATCAAAATAAATTTAAAAAGCTCGTCTTCATTTACAGTTTAAAGAATAACGGAGTAAGATATAAGACTATAAAGTTGATCATTACGCGTGGCTAATTTTTCCATTCATCCAATTAGAATAATATTACTTTTATAAATATTATAAAAGTACATACAATATTTGTACAAAGAATACGCCAATTTAAAAACACCGACAAGTTAAAAAATGTATATTATTTGCGCGCGCGCGCAAACATTTTTCTAATTTTTTAATAAAAGATATATACTTTTTATCTAGCACATTTTGAAAAATTGGCGTATTCTCTATATACATTATATTATACTGATACAATATTCAGTTAATTATAAAAGTAATACAATTTTTTTTTTAGAATAATTCTGGTTTGTTTTCTCCAGTGAGCTATCATCGATATTTATCGACGAGTGACATATCTTACGGAGTGCAGGACCAAAGTAAGGACAGGCAGTAGAAAAGGACGATAAGGTAGACAAAAGAATATATGCGAAAAGGAAATATTAAAAAGTATCTTTTTAATTTTAACTGCTATTAAAAATACGTAATTATATAACATGGAATCATTTACTTTAAAACGTTCCATTTCGCGAAAGTGTTTTCAAAACTTGTGCAGAAAGCAACGAAAACAAATTATGTCCGAAATTCGAAATAATTTACGTTCTAAAGTAGTTTCAAAAAATTGCGAGAAACAATCACTTATCAGAAATAATCTTGATGCTTCTGTTTCGAATATTGTAAATGTTTCTGATATTAATGCGCCAAACCTAGTGAGAAATGACAATGTAATTGATGTCGATTCAACGTCAAAATCATCAAATCGACGTCGAATTGACATCGATTCGACATCGAGTCCATTATCATTTATCACTGGAAATCTTTCACATGCGGAAGGTACTTCGATTACAGTCTTTAATGTTGACAATGTCCAAAATAATATTGATGATTTCGAAAATAATATGCTTGCTATTAACGTTGAAAATGAAATATCAGAAATATACAACGATACTTGTTCTGTTAATAATTCATCTTCTGATAGTATTACCTCAATTGAACTATCATTTCAAGACAGATTGGCATCCTGTATTATTGAGAATAATTTCAGTCATGTGGAAGGTAATAATCTTCTCTCTCTTCTACGAACACATCCTTGTTTTCATAATTTACCGAAAGATGTGAGAACACTTTTGAAAACTCCACGAAATAAGGTTGTTGTATCAAAAATGGAACCAGGCGAATATATCCATTTTGATCTAGAAATAGGTATTTGTAATGTTCTTTCGCACTTCCCAATTAAATCACTTCCTAGTCAATTAAATATAGATTTTAATACCGATGGTTGTTATCTAGACAGATCAGGAAGTATTCATATTTGGCCCATCCAGTGTAGAATTGTAAATGTCAAGCATACGAAACCAATAGTTGTTGGAATATATAAAGGTATTTCAAAACCAAATGATCCAAATTTATTTTTCGAAAAGTTTATTGCAGATATTAAGAGAATAATGTCTAATGGAGGTGTATCTTACAATGACAATAAATTTCCAATATATTTAAGAAGTTTTATAGCTGACGCACCAGCTCGTGCTTTTATTCTCAATCATCGAAGCCATACATCTAATAAACCATGCTCTAAATGTAAAATTTCTGGTATACGGCATGAAGGTCGTTATGTTTTTCGTGGTGTAAATCATACTCTTCGTACGGATGAAGAGTATGTCGCATGTTTAAATGATGATCATCATAAAAATGGCAATAGTCCGTTATCGATGTTACCAATAGGAATGGTTTCGCAGATTCCATTTGAGTATATGCATCTTGTATGCCTGGGAGTTATGAAAAAATTATTATCTGCATGGGTATTTGGGAAGTATTCGCGATTTTCAAAATTATCTGCAAGAGCTATTACTTGTATAAGCAAACGATTGGAAATACTTAAAGATTACTGTCCATCTGATTTTGCAAGACGTCCTAGGTCACTTGATGTGTGTATGAAATATAAAGCCACAGAATTTCGCCAATTTTTATTATATACAGGCCCAGTTGTAACGTACGGTATTGTACGACAGGAAGTATACATACACTTTTTAATGTTACACGCAGCAGTAAGAATTTTAACTTACGCATCACCATCAGAAGCGTATTTAAATTTTGCAGCTCATGCTTTGAAAAAATTTGTTATTAAATCAGAAAACTTGTATGGTTCAACATTTAATTCTTACAACGTGCACGGACTTATTCACCTTACTAATGATGTGCGACGATTAGGTCCTCTTGATTCCTTTTCAGCTTTCCCATACGAAAATAACATGACATTATTTAGGAAATTGTGTAGAAAACCTGGTCTTCCTCTTCAACAAATTTTCAATAGAATGGCTGAAATAGAAGCACATCAGGAAGTAATTGATCATTGCAATATTGATTCTTCTGTCAATGTACTTATAGAGCATAATGCAGGTCCTCTCCCACACAACATTACTTTCAATCCTCGTCAATATCGTAAAATTAATTTTAATGGAATTTTACTTACCTCAGATACACGAGACAATTGTTGCATCTTACATGATGGATCTATTTGCATTGTTACTAATATTTTCATGGCCAACGGTTCATATTATTTGGTAGTAAAAAATTTTTTACAGATACATGACTTTTAGGATATTGGTCTTTTATCTTCAGCGTTAGACACCTTTAAATGTTCTGAATTGAGTTCTCGTATCTTTTCCGTTAATATTAATAAAGTACGTGCAAAATGTTACAGGATGCCTTTCTGGAATCATACATCTATGGATGACAGTAGTGATGACGAAGATTATACAGAAACTTCGCAATATAATATAGTAATTGCTATTACACATAATAAAACTTAAAACTTACATTCCACATTATGGAATATTACAATCGTTATTACTACTTATTACTTAGTGTATTATTGTTTACTATTTCATTGTAGCACAATTTTATTCCAGTATTAACATTTCGAAATTGTTTACATTTCTACGAGTTAGATTAGCTGTTTTAGTAAGTCATATATTGATATTTTTTGGAAATACATTAATATACTATATTACCTATTAAAAATAATCGTATTGCCCGTATTTTTTATTGTGTGTGTAATTAAAATTACAACAGTTGAGACATGTATAAATGAAAATATCTGTACATGTGTAAATGAAAAAAAATTAACTATTTGTGTTCATTCATGTAAAAATGTATTTTTTTTCCTTATGATATTTTATTAAGATTTAATCGGAAAATAGAGAATAGAAAAATATATTATCTACATTACAAAATAAAGAAGAGCAATGCCTTTGTACTAATACATTGTTATCGTTGCTTTCCATATGAAAATATGTAAGATGTAAAACACATTGCAATTATTATACATTAGTTATTGCGTTATTAATTAATTTGTATTTAATGTTAACATTGTTATATAATTTTTATTTAATAATGTATTACATAATTATCTCATTACTGTACAGAAAAATGGATACATTTTCCAAAGATCGTCCAAAAAGACCCATTGTAAAACCGTCCAGATATAAAACTACCTCGTCTTCTGATAACAATACTAAGAAAATAGCGAAAACTGCAGGACGAAAAATAGATGTGACTAAGACGATGGAGGCAGATATGATGGAATTAAGAGGAATTTTCCACGAATAATCCTCAATTATGAATGATAATTCATATAATAATAATAATTTACACACATCATACAATCCTCATACATACACAGCACAAGCACAAATATCTACTCAGGCACAATGTCGTTCAGAACAAATTCGTGATCAATGCTCACCTTTACAAACACCTATTAATATCGAATCACACACACACTTACGCCAAGACACACATACATTACCACACACACACTTACGCCAAGACACACATACATTACCACACACTTACTTTACAGAACGTTTACCTCTATCTAGATCAACATTCACATCAAATCAACATAACACTTTTGACAATAATATTAATACATACAATCAGTTTCAGGCAATAAATCATTCGATCATAGATGAATCTACGGCAATGCCAAATTATAACGCGCAAGAACAAACTGTAGCAGAAAATATAACGGAATTTCGGTGAGTGTAATATGATAATTTATATTTTTTTTAATTTAATTTTTACTTTATTTTTATTATATTTTTTTATATATTTTTTAAATTTTTTACTTTATTTTATTAATTTTTTTATGAATAAACAAATGAAATAAAATCAAAGTCAATACATATATTATATCGAATGTTTTAGACCACCCGTCCTCTTTTATCTTCGCAGGATAAGGTCCTATCGAAAGTGTTCAGATAAAAGTTGTAGGGTTTCTGAAGACCTATTTGCCGGCGCTATGAGTTTGATTTGACCTTGAGTGGTATTGTCAAGGTCAGGTCAAGGTCACATCGATTTTTTTTAAATAAAACACCTCATTTTTTATTGCATATTCTTATAGTACACCTCGAGAGCTTTCCAAAACACTATAATTAAAGTTATTTTCATCAAGTACTTTTGAGTTATAAGGCTTGAAGGTTACAGTACCTTCGGCATTAGCATTGCCCAAAGTGCCAAAGCGATGACTAAAACCTCCTTAATGTTGTTTATGCCTGGTTTATGCTTCGGTCTTAAGGACTTAATCCTAAAATTCAGCCAATAGAGTTCAAATTTCGGTTAGAACTGGCAGCTTTATTGGTTGAATTTTAGGATCTTGGGATTAAGACCTGAAGCATAAACCAGGCATTAGGATTACGACCTGAATAATTATTTGTCAAGTTCAAAATCATTGCAGATTGTTCCGCTTATTTGTATTTCTACGTAAAAATGAGGTTGTAGTCATCGCTTGGGCACTTTGGGCAATGCTAATGCCGAAGGTACTGTAACCTTCAAGCCTCACAATTCGAAAAGTACTTAATGAAAATAAACTTTATTTTATTGTATTAAAAAGCGGTTGAGCTCTTGACCCGATCTTGGCGATCTTATTGATCTTGATTTTATTTCATGTTTAGCGTACGTTAGTCTTTCGTTATATATTTATTATTCATACAAATGTTACAGCAAAATTCAAAACAGATTCGACAATGTAGAAACACAATTGAAGTAAGTAATATATATATTATATATATATATATATATATTGTAGTATATAACTATAAGCATATGTATTTATGTGTACACAAGAGTTATATTAAATATATATATACATATATACACACATGTACACAAATTAAAATATAATCATATAATCATACGTGTATTTTTTTTTGTCATCTTTTTATATCTTGTGTACATATAAATACATATGCTTATAGTTATATACTACAATACATTATTTATGTTAATGTTATGTAATGAAATACAAATACAATTGTAAACATATATTTTGTTCGCAGGAAGTTAAATGACACTATGAATTGTATTTTACATTGTGTAAAATTAAAAGAAAAGCGACGACGAGCTTTGCAAAAACCAATATGGTTGCCTCTTTCAACAGAGGCAGAGATGCAAAGTTTTGAAAAAGTTAATGAAGAAAGATATGAAGAAGTTGTAAGTAAATGGAAAAATAGAATTGTTAATTTTCAAATAGCTACGATGACAATTATATTTTTTGAAAATAAATTAGTATGATAGAACAAGGGCTTGGCACACAATGCAACTTTCGGCCGATTTTCGAATCGGCTCCGCCTTCTGTTGTCCCCCTCACCTCACCGCTCTACATACTGTTCTGGACAGTGCGTGGAGCGGTGAGAGGGACAACAGAAGGCGGAGCCGATTCGAAAATCGGCTGAAAGTGCGTGCCAAGCCCTGCGATAAACTGATAAATATCCGTGCATTCTATTTTTAAAATTATTTATTAAATCTATTAACGACCCGGATAGCGCAGAGAGTTGAAAAAGGATTCGAAAAGGATTCAATCATATGTCATCAATTGTGAGTTTATTTTCACAGATGCAGAAAGATTTCTTTTCTCGAAAAATATTCTTTTTGGATCTGAAAATAAACTACAGAATTGATGACATATGACTGAATTCTTTTTGAATTTTTGTTTGTGCTATCTGGGTTGTTAATTGAAAAATTTATTTAAAAATGAAAAGTACGTCTTTATGAGCAATTTTACAAAATAATTTTCTTGCTTTCAATGCATGCTTAGTGTAATAAATTTATTAATGTCTTCTCCTTCAATCATGTTACAAAATAATGTACTTTCAAATTTTAGAGTAATGTACTAATAAATGACAACAGAATATGACTAATTATTGATCAGTTTATCCTCATACATATATTTCCAATGTATTTTAATGTAGGTGGATTATCTTGAATACGTGGGAGGATTCACAGTGAAGGAAGCAATTAACTTAGCCTTTAAGGAAGTCATAAAAGATAGTTTGACGATGTTGTACACTTGGTTCGGCCGCGAAAATGGTCCACAGCCCTTATATAGAACGCGGATAATAATGGCAATTTATGGTACTACTCTATTCTCTATTAATATAAAATATTTGAAAAACTGCAAGGGCGAACAGGGATTAGTGTGCTAGACTGGTTGTACTGATTGGTTTATCATAATATATATGTATATATTTTGCTGTATCATGTATATATGTATATATTATGATACAGCAACATAATTTTGAGATAACGAGTTTCGCATATGTTAGTACCTATAATTTTAAGTGCGTAGATCAATAAAAATATGCCAAAAATGCACACTATATATATATATATATACTATATATATATAGTATCTATTTTGGTTTATCATAATATATATGTATATATTTTGCTGTATCATGTATATATGTATATATTATGATACAGCAACATAATTTTGAGATAACGAGTTTCGCATATGTTAGTACCTATAATTTTAAGTGCGTAGATCAATAAAAATATGCCAAAAATGCACACTATATATATATATATTTTATATATATATAGTGTGCATATGTATATATACACATACATAAATACATATATGTATATATATTGCAGCTTTTTGTTATATCTCTATATTTATTTACGCACTGAAAATGATCATATTACAAATACATGATGTCTGTAGAGTTGATTGTAATCAAATTATAAACACTTTTTGCGTAATAAAACATTAATAAGCATGTAGAACCTATTTGGATCTTTAATCCCTGTTTATCATGGTAGCTTTTAATTTACTATGCGTGGGTATGTAGTTCAACATAGTGTTAGCGTGTGGTACACAGCAAGAATGTAATGTGTGTGCATGTGGTATATGTACTATAATATGAATATACATCTATATTCTAGAACAGTTGCTTTTGCGAGCACTGATCTACAATATAAATTAAAAACTAAGCTTTACGATTATCTGTAAAATTAAATATAATATATAAAATGTCAACATATAAATATGGTACATTTATATATCATCTAAATACACATGTACATACAGTACATTCCTGCTATATGTACTACACACCATATGTTGTACTGTATATCCGCAAGCGCTTATATGTATAAATGTATTTGTTCTTATTTTAATCTTATTTTTGCTATAAACTAGATGCCATTTGTAATAGTCGACACTTCAACAAACCAACCAGGGCAGAGTTCCAAGCGTGTGCGAGAGAGGCTTTGCGGGCAGCAAAACAAAGATACAGGATGAATACCCGCGTACAGCATGGAAGAGAGCGTCAGGTTAGAGCACGTGATTTCTGGAACGTCGAAGAAGAAAATAATAGAAATGACAATAGAGATGATAACATAGAAGAAAATGAAGAAAATGAAGAAAATGATGCTGATGCCGAATCTAATGTGAACTCACACGATGAGTGTGCGTCACAAAATGAATAATTTATTGTATGTAAAACATTCTTTTCTTTTTATAATTAATAAGTACAAAAATATTAAGATATTCGAGTACTAAGTTAAAAAGTCCACAGTTAAGTTAAAAAATTAATTAATTTTAACTTGGTTACATTTTAAACGATTAACTTTTTAACTTAATTTAGTCACATTTTATCGATAATTATTATTTTTTAATTTGTATAAAAAATTATGTAAAACAGTCAAATTTCTTTTTACCGTCCATTTGAACCTTTAACTTTGAATTTAACTTTTCACTTTACTTTATTTATTAACATAACTTGCAATTCAATTTATTTCATTATATGTAGATTAACTTGTATCCTAAGTAAATTAAATTTTCAAGGGTATTAATTTAAACTTAACTTTTAAAAAAGTTAACTTATTCAATCGCGCAGATATAAAAAATTTGCTGCAAGTTATTATGCTTAACATGACACTACCATGTCTCATACAAATAAAAAGATACATTAATGTTCATCAGTAAAATAAACAGAAGGGCTACGAGTCAAAATAAAACATTTAATATTCAAATATAACAGCATATTACAACAAACCATGTAGTACAATCAAAATTTATTTCATTCAAATTATGTGCAACAATACTAAGAAATAACATATAGAAAATTGTAAAAAAAACGCTCTTTTTATCGAAAGAGATAGGAAATGTTTTATATATTTCCTCTTACATAAAGAACTTTTTTACAAAATCCTTTTATAGATAGTTTCTTAGTATTATAACATATATTGTAACCGTAATAAATCGTTAATTGATATATTTTTTTTTCTATGAAACATGACGGTGTTAAGTACAAAATATTTACTTTTGATGATTCTTGATACATATAACGATCTTTAATATCTTTTTTTTTAGTTGCAGTTGCTTCTAATGGGTCCTGCAGAACGCAGAAACGCTTGTCGCGCAACGGAAGTTCTCACATTAGCTAATAATTCGATGTTCTTAAATCGGCCTCATTATGCAAAACTTCTAGAAATGATGCAATATTACTTCTGCTGCGCAGCAAAAATTGGATTGAGTTCAACGTTTGTCGCGCGGTGGAAAGGATCCTGCACCATTCTTATTTTCTCTGTGGATTTGATTAATTTTTGGATATGTTATAGTACTCTTCATTCTGAACAAATGTTTAAATGGGCACAACCTGATTGTTATGCCCATTGAGACATTTGATTTGGCAAAAATTAGCCAAATCCGCAGACATCTTATCATAAAAATCATGCGGGAATCTTATTGTATATCTATTACTTACGAACAAGCGAGAGAGACGTTGATTGGCTATCGCATTAATTTCCGCCGCGCAACAAGCCTTGCTGCATTCTGCATACAGGAATCATAATAGCTCTTGCAAGAATTTTCGCGTCCGGTGATGCTACAGAAGATTCTACAAGTTCGTGGGTTCCACTTGTGGGTTTAGCGTGCTACCCCTACGTCCCACAAAAAAAAAAATTTTTTTTCAAACCATCGATTATATATATAAATATCATTTTTGGATGTAACGTATACAAGAATGACAAAGTTACGTGCACAAAGAAGTTTTTCCTTCATAATATAACGTAAATATAACGAAATATTTCATACCTTATCTTTTCTTAGTTACAGATACTATTTCCACATTCTGAATCCACATTTCACACATATAATCTTCTGTCAAAGAATAAAGGTTAGATGTGAAAGACCTTTTACATGCTCCAAGCTAGCAAATAATTTGAGCACTAGTTTCAGCAAAAAGTCACTGCAAATAGTCATCCACTTATCCATTTTTCTGTGTAACAGAGAGTAATGGTGAGTTACATTAAAACAAATTATTTATGATTATAATATAAATAAAGTTGCTAAAAGATAAACAATTATAAATAAATGAGCATATACCACAACGTGAAATATTGATTGCGCTGATAATATTTCACGTTGTGGCATATTCTCGTTTATTTGTAATTGTTTACTTTTGATTATTTATAGCTTTTCAAGGAACATATATATCAACACAGGAATCACTTTATTTATGATTTGTTGAATATCGAATCAAAATTGAATGAAACACCTGTATCAATATGTATATATCTTCAAAGCTACAATGCATTCCTTAATTAGTTTTCTTATGATAAATTTGATCACTCGCACTGTACTGAAGTGCATATTAAAGGCTGCTTTGTATCTAAATTCAATAGGATAATATTATCACAGTTTTGATAATAAAATATAATATATATACAATTGTAAGGCGGGGAGACTATTTTCAAAAGGACCACCTGAAAGTCAGGTATATGAGAGCATCCGTGCCAGTAGCAGGGAACAAAACTAGGAAAGGCCAGAAAATCTTGAAAGAACCGTAATAGAATTATCTATAGAATAAGCGACGATGGGTGAAAGAGAAGAGGCTTTAATAAGAACTCATTTTAATAAGAGAAACTTTGCATATACAAAAAGCATGTGTGTGTAGGCTATGTGCCGAGAGAGCAATCCGGCCAATGAGATCTAACAAGAAATGCGCACGCATTTTCAGAAGGAAAGCGTTGCAGTACAAACAAAAACTAAGGACTTACTAACAAACAATGCTCAAATACTTACACAATATTCTATTAAATAATGTGACAATATCATTACTGACTATTTAATCATTTAAAATATTTACATACTTTTACATTTAATTTTGCTAACTTCATACATAGCAGCTTTTAGTATGCACTAATGTATAGTGTAATGCAAATGATTAAATTCGTTATTATTCACAATTAGATATTTAATAAAAAAATCAAGTAAGGTTAGAAGAGCACGTAAGAGTCAGTCACTTATGTGCTCTTCTCTCTAACCTTGCTTGGTTTTTTAAGAATTAATTCTACCATGTGCTCTTTGTTTTCCTGTTTCTTGCTGTTTGTCTTTTGCCCACTCTTGTCTTTTTGAAAAGGCAAGAGACAAACAGCAAGAAACAGGTAACAAAAAACACATTGTAGAATTAGCCTTACTATTTACTATCAGATATTTAATATTTTGCCTTTTTACTTACAGATGCTGCATTAAATATCTGGAATTCGGAAACTTTAACATGTGTGCACTTGTATAAATAATAATAAATTCAAGCTCACAGAAATGAATCAACGCTGGATTCTCTTCTTCATAATTAATAGCTTTTGCCTGTCGACAAATTTTAAAGGCAATACGACCAACTCACGTTCTATGAGCACACGAAGTAAAAAATGATGCAACATCCGCGAAAATAGCGTACTTAGTTCATACGAACACGGACACTGGGCGGCAGGCAGTTTGTACTGAGCGCGTCCTTCGTCGAAGGAGAGAGAGAGAGAAGGGGGATTGTGTATTTATATAAACTTCTTCCTTTCACGACGCGATGCGTGACGCGATGGAAACGTACCATAAATGTGCTGCGACTTTAATGCCTGTTTTCACCAATGCAGATTAACTTTAATCTCGGTTTAACTTATGCCTGGTTTATGCTTCGGTCTTAAGATCTTAATTCTAAACTTCAGCCAATAGAGTTCAAATTTCGGTTAGAACTGGCAGCTTTATTGGTTGAATTTTAGGATCTTGGGATTAAGACCTGAAGCATAAACCAGGCATTACTGTTAATCTTTTTCTAATTTTTAGAATTAGAAAAAGACGAAGAGCAAATTGAACCGAGATTAAAGTTAATCTGCATTGGTAGAAATGGGCATAAGGCGACTGCTACCAACGCCGATTAACTTAATCGACGATTAGTCCATGGGAATTGACCAATCGCGTCTGTCGTCAAAACTAAATGATAAATGCGATTGGTCAATTCCAATGTACTAATCGTCGATTAAGTTAATCGAAAACGCTAATTAATAAACGTTAATCGTGAACGCTATTTAGATCACGTTATTTTCTTCTTAACAACTAATTAAGAAAAAGATAACGTGACTTAATAGAGTGTTCACCATATCTGAATCCACGTAAATGCAAAACCTCCCTAATAATATTAGATCATAATCTGACGATAACTCGCAAATCTTTTGGTATCTTTGAATATTGCTGCGTACAACGAATAGTTTAATAGTTTAGTTTACGAATTTGCGCTATTATTACAACGAATAATTTAATATGTACGTTATATAACATCATATACATATATGTACGTTAATAAATTATGTATTTCTTTTAGGAATTTATGTTTATTAATATAAATTAAATAATGTGCTAATAAAGAAACGTATATTTATTTTCCTAACCTAAAAATCCTAAACTTTTTCTAACCTAAAAATATTAAATTGAACGTAATCTTTTTGCTGAATTTTTTATACATTTTTGCGATTATACGTGACGACAGATATGAGCGATTTCTGCTGCGTTTTTGCCTTCATTAGCTGATAAAACAGATCGCGTTCTATTTTTCACATGTATTTGTAATCACGTCGTGATATCAGATTGTGCTCGGTTTTTGCTGTAGTTTTGCTGTCTGTACATGTGACAACAGATTGTTTGCGATTTCTGTTGCGTTTTTGCCTTTATCAACTGATAAGGAAGATCGCGTTCTATATCTACCGCGTTTTTGCAATCACGTCATGACGGCAGGCCGTGCTCGATTTTTGCTGTAATTTTGCTGTCAGTATTTAATATAGTAACTCGTACCGTAGTCTTGTCGCGATTTCGGTGTCACAATGTGATGTCAGATCGTGCTTGATTTTTGCTGTCTTTTTGCTTTTAATATTTGAAATAGCAAACTTTGCCCAGTATTTGCTACGTATTTGCTGTAACGATATATATAGCAAAGAATGCTCTATTTCTATTGCATTTCTGCACAGTCATTCTGTTGGCAGATTATGCTGTAAGAAACTAAGCTTAATGAGGAAGCAGCAGCTTGATATCTGCTGTAATGTCATGATCGAGTTTGCTGGCATAGTGCTGGCATACTGCTAGCATTTTGCTATCTGGGGTACGTTGTACGTATGTATGTCGTACGTATGTATGTCATACGTAGAACGTATGTATGTATGTTGTACGTAGAACGTATATATGTCGTACGTAGTACGTATGTATGTCGTACGTAGTACGTATGTATGTCGTACGTAGTACGTATGTATGTCGTATGTAGTACGTATGTATGTATGTATGTATGTATGTATGTATGTGTCGACAGTATATAAACAGTGTGTAAAGCTCTTTTCATTCAATCGTAATCTAACGAGCGTTACGGTATGGACCGAGTAAACGATTATCTGCATCGAAAGTGGATCAAGCTCCAGGGACACCGTCGGTTAGACGACGACGACGATCGTGAGCTCCTGTGTCCACCGAGTCCCTCGAAGAAAAACTCGAGATATTGGGAGTTGCCTCTAGAAAATACGTCGAAAGATACATCTTCGACGAAAAACCAAAGATATTCGAATTGGCCTCCATAAAATACATCGAAAAATACATCTTCGACGTCAACGTCATCAAAATTTAAACCATAATGTATGTATGTATGTATGTATGTATGTACCATTTGGTACTATCTTTATAAACTTACCTTTTTTTAAAAAAGAAGGTAAAAAAAAGCGCTAAGAGTGGGTGCTGCTGGTCAAAAAACATTTCGGCCAGTTTCACCAACGCCAATTACTTAATCGACTGTAAAACTGACTAATCACATTTGCTGTTTAGTAGAACCATCTTTTTTAAAAACCTACGTGATATCCTTATTTACTTAAATTTAATGACATGTATCATTTGTATAAAAGTTTTGATATTATAGTCGGCGCCAAGTTAAATTCTACCTTATTACTTACTTAATTTTAATGACATTTATCATTTGTATAAAAGATCATATGATATGGATTTTTCCCATAAAATATATCGTTTAATTAACTAGTCTTTAAAAATTCTATCTCTAAAGATCTAAGAGGTACCATCCTTACACTCATTTAATTCTAATGACATGTATCATTTGTATGTACATATAAATTTACCTTTTTAAAAAAAAGGTAGAAAAAAGCGCTAAGAGTGGGTGCTGCTGATCAAAAAACCATTTGGGCCAGTTTCACTAACGTCAATTACTTAATCAACTGTGAAACTGACCAATCACATTTGCTATTTAGTAGAACCATCTTTAAAAACCTACGTGATATTACCCTTATTTACTTAATTCTAATGACATGTATCATTTGTATAAAAGATTTGATATCAATAGTCGGCGCCAAGATCAATTC